AAATTAACCATATAATAATAATAATTACGCATTAATAAAGATAATGAGACATGTCTCACCTTAACATTAAAAAAAAACAAATAACTTACAAAAAATATAATAATAATAATAATAATTTTTTATATAAATTATAATATTATATTAAAAACTATTTATTTAAAATCAATATTTAAAAAGTTTGTTAAAAACAAATAAATAATTTTTTTAATTTAAAAATTTTTTTAAAACCAATATATTTTTATTTTATAAGTACTTAAAACTTTTTTCTTATAATATAAAATCAAATATTACTATAATATAATTTTTATTTTCAAATATTATTATTTGAATATTTTAAAATTTTAAAAAAATATAAATTATAAATATATTTTTATTTATTTTTTAAGTAAATTTATTTGAAAATACTTATATATTAAGGAATAATAAAATATAATTTTATATAAAAAGTATTTATTATATTTTTGAATATATAAAAATTAAAAACAAGTTAATTATATTAAAATCAATATTATTCAATTTTTTTATTTTAATAAAGATTACAAATCAATATATTATATTTAACAAATTACAAAACTAATGTACAATATAATATTTATAACAATATATTTTTATATTTGATATAAACAATTAAATTAAAATAATAATAGAAGTATTGTTATTTTCTTATAATTTCATCTAAAAATTCAAAAGCAATATTGTTAACAAAAATAAAAAAATCTATTTCATAAAAAATAAATAATTTACATTGATTATTATGTCAATAATTTATCAAAAAATTTTTAAATTTAATTCTTAATGATCTTTTCATATTGGTTATTATAATTTCTCTAAATACTTCAAGAATTTAATTTCAATTTACAATAGTATACTTTACATTAATTTTGAGTAGGAATATGAAGGATGATCGACATCCCTAATTCTGAGTAAGTAGTATTCATAACTGTTCAGCGTTTAACTCAATAATAACATTTGATTTATCTTTTAAAAGATGTTACTTTTTTCATATGTAAATCAAAAATCAAAAAATTTTGTAAAATTCTCAATATCGTATTAGGAAATTGATAATAATAATACTGTAGTTTTTTTGTTTGCGAAAAAGCTTGGCGTGCATATTTGTTTGACGAAACATTAATCTTTTAGTCAGAAAACTATGGCTGATCGATCACGTGTGCAATCTGAACAAATAAAAAACGTCTAGTTTTTGCTTAAAGAGTTTAGTGCAACTGTGATTTATAGCATGCATCAGAGAAGTGAATACAATTGGTAACAATAGAGTTAGTTGTCTTTTGGTGGACAGTGATTTTTCGGACCCTATAATTATGATCCTAAAAGTTGTTAAAATGCGATCAAAGATAATTGCTCATATGCTAATAATCCAAGAATAAAACTACAATTGGCATTCTATGGAAATATCTTGATTGAAATATCCAGTCTGAATACAAAAAAAAGCTTGATTCAATAGAACAAATCCGAAGGGTAAAAGAATCAACAGGATATATCAATATATATCATTTGCAGATAAGGACATCTTTCTTTGCCGAATTGTTGTGATGAATTTATTTCAGTGTGATTAAGATTCTCTTATGCATCATTTTAGGTACGTAAAAGAAGCTTTATCATATATTTCCTGCAAATTACCTTTAGTCTTCGAGACTCTCACTTTAGTAAAAGTGTATAATCCCCCTCCCTGTAGAATGCTTTGCCGGTCTGCCAATAAATAAGATTTTTTTACGTACTGTACATATTGCTTGACAGAAAGATATGCACCATTAAAAATATCCATGACAAGGGGGGGGGACTATACACCGCTACTTACGGTATTGTATGTGTTTTATACAATGCTGCTTTCTTGTGAAATTACTCGTCGCAGTACGTACATGCTCCCGTTACGCTCAAAGTTACGCTCCTTTATTCCAACGTCTTCGTGAAAAATGTCTGTTCCTATTATGATAAAGAAGATTTTTGAGTCCATAAATTTGAGTTTGTTTTTTCAGTAAGCATAGAAGTGACCCGCGAGACTTTAATACTCAATTCTTTCGAATAATATTACTGAGGTATCACAGATATGTTTTATGCAACTTCGTTTTACAAGGGATTTTATTGCTCATTTCGTTTTACAAAGGTTTTTTATGTAAACTTTTTTACATAAGTTTTTGTGAAACAAATATTTGGTTTTTTTTTTTTATAAACAGGTTCATCTAAAGTACACTGAAAGACAAAAAGTCATGGTCTTCAAACATAGCCAAGTTTCTGTTGTTCCTCGTTATAAAGTGTTATTTAGCATTTTACTCTTACACCTTGCATTTTTCTCTTGCTTTCTGTATTACTTCTCATACAATTGCGATGTTGATATCAAACCGGTCTCAGAAGAATCATCAGCACCATCAGCACTACCACCAGCACTACCACCACCAGCGGTGGATGATACTTTTATTAAACCTCCTCTAAGCGTTGATCCAAAAGTAACAGTTTTTCTTGGAATTTTAACCGTTTATGAAAAGACTGAGATAAGGAATTACTTGCGCGATATGTATAAGCATAGTAATGCTGCACTAGCACGATACCTTGGAGTTCAGGAATCCCCTATAACGGTTAAGTTTATTCTAGGGATTCCAAAGGACAAACGCGTAGATGGGATAAATGAGGAATCGAAAAAATACGGAGATATCGTTTTATTGAATATCACGGAAAATATGGAAGAAGGGAAGACTATAACGTTTTTCGATTGGTTCGCTGAGAACGCAAGTATTCTTGTTACATATTTATCCCATTATGATATATAGTAGGTCATTAATGCTTATATTTTTTATATTTAGCGAAAGGACGATTATATGTTGAAAGCAGACGATGATAGTTTTATCCACCTTATTCATTACTATCGCGACATTCAAGATTTGCCGAGAAAACTTACATATTATGGTCTATCACTAAATTATACCAACACCGATGAATTAGGAGCAAAGGTCTACATGTGGGGTATGTTCTTCTGAATAATCTATCATTAGTATTAAACGCACTAAATTTTTTGGATGCTTTTTATTTAGGTATGGGATACACGATTTCCCGCGACCTCGTCGAGGAAATCGTTAAATTTGATTGGGTTCGTTCAAATGTGATAGGCAGTGAAGATTATAATGTGGGCCGTTGGATGTGCAAGTTGTCCAGAGAAAAAAAATATTTATTACACTATGTTGGTTACCCTCATAGCCGCGGGCTGGTTCGAAATTTTCCCGAAAACCCTTTCCACGATTTACATTTTGATCGTAATATAGATGCATATCGCTTCGTCGACGAGGCTATATTAATCCATCGGTTGGAGAATCTTGATGACATGAGAACAATTGTGGACATGTATCTTTATAATGACGGTCTTCCGAAGATTAAGATCATTCGGAATTCGACAGCTCCAGGTTTACTTACAAAAAAAGAGATTTTTCAAGGATGTTGGATCATGGATCAAAAAAATCAAACCTGGGATCAAGCGCGTCATTGGACTTCATCACTGGATATCTACAAGAATTGGTTTTATGAAGCTTGGGGTTTCAAGGAAGGACAATGGCATGGTTATTATGGGCCCAAAAGTGAGATATAATTTTATAAATTTAAAATAATCCTTAAAAGGTGATTTCGTGTGGGAAAAGATACAGTATATATACATATAATCAAATTTCAAATAATCCATAAAGCAAAGTAATGATTATATAATATAGAGGGGTGAGCAAAAATTAATTAAAATAAAAGATTTAATTATTATGAATTAACATTATAAATATAGTGAATAAACAATTTAACTATAGTACTTACTAACATTAAGGGATCGTTAAAATCCGAAAAAATATTATTTAACAAATATTATAACAAAGTAGAAATAATCAAATAGGTATAAAGAAGAAATTAATGAAATACGATTTATTACAAAATTAATTATATTTATAATAAAAAGTATCGATTAATAGCTACAAAAAAAAATGAAAAACTTGAATAGGTAATTTTTATTGAAGAGTATTTAACACAATATGTTGTATGAAAATAATAAAATTATTAAAAAGTATTAAAATACTGAATATTTGCTTTATAATAATTATAAAGATAAAAATAAAATCCATAAATACAAATATTAATAATATGACCAATATTTAAAAAATCTAGTGACAATAAATAATTTGTAACAAACCTATTCGAAAATAAGATTATTATTAAAAAAAACCATTGATATAAAAATCTAGATCATATTAAAAATAAATATAAAAAATGAATACATCTGTTAAAATTAAATTTTATAAAAACAATAATTTTGTTAATAATGTTAATTAAAATATTTATACAAAAAAAAAAAATTAAAATTATTATATAATAAATAGGCTTTCAAACCAATATATAGATTATAACCCACTCTATTAAACTTATAATAAAACTCAATATTGTTAGAAATATTGTTTCTTTTTTTTATTATAAACAAGCATTAAATGTGAGACTTTATTTAAATAAAAATATTTACTGTCATTACATTAACATTGTTAGAAATCTTAATAATACTCTAATAAATACGTATATATAATAATAATAATAATAATAATAATAATAATAATTTAATAATAATTTACAAGTTTATAATATAGTAACATTCTTTATGAATATCAAAAATAAATTTAAAATTAACTTGTCTAATTATAAAAACCATATTGCTTTTATATATTTATTAATTAATAAGTCTTTTAATTAATTAAATTGAAAATTCAATTATAAGATTAAAAAAAAAAAAAAAAAACTTGATTTAATTTTAGTAAATATTTTATAATTTAAGATTCAACTAATAAATTTTATTTGATATTTTATTTTGATCAAAAATTAAATGAAAAATCTATTAATTATATTAAGCATATGAATTTATCTATTTGATATTAATTTATATAGTTTAACATATTGTATAAATTAATTAATCAAACTTATAGTTAATATAAAAATATTATTAATATTGTGTCAGTAAGCAAATTGATTAGTATAAATATACTGTATATACGGTATAATATTATCAAAATGAATAATATAAGTTTAAATACTTTATAAAAATCAAAAATATAGTTGCCAATTCATTTATAAAAAAAAAAAAAAGGTTTAATAACATTATTACGTATATTTTATAATTATCGTTTTTTTTTCTAGAAAAATTTTTTATAAATCATCTGATTGATCCTATATAGTAGTAAATGTTCTCGTCGAATCCTCAAAATTTGTGATACCAAATAAATCGAACCACATGCTCACACATAGAATCTATGGAACTCTTGAACAAGTATCCCCTAGCCAAATTCAGTAAGGATCGACGGCCACAGAATATCGTTAATAAGAGGTGTAACATTTTGCGGAATTTTAACTCCAACCTTTTCGTATAAAATAAAACCGGATTTTTTCCTTTTAGAAGACCTGTTTCCACTTTCAATCAAACTAATATCAGATATGAACCGTCGAATAAATTTGATTAAAAAGAAGGTGATCAGAATCTTTGAGAGCCGTCGTCGTCGTCGTCGCGCTACTCGATCTAAATCTCCGTCGTTACGTACCAACTCTTATGATGGTACAATTGAAAATAATCAATCTACACTGCCAGCTGATTGCTTAATTGAAATATTTTCACATTTAGAAGATGATCTGAAGACTTTGCAATCGTGTGTCTTGGTCAACAGGTCAATATGAGTTTGATTCAAAGAAACTCAAACTTCAAAAGCTATCGACTAAATTAATAATATGAATAATCATTCGTTCTAGGCTCTGGTGCGAAAATTCAGTTCCTGTATTATGGGCTCAGCCTTTCAAGGAGGAAACACCATCATCAATAATTGACGTATACATGTCATGCCTTACCGAAGCCGAAAGGACTTATCTTATTGACAACGAAATTAATGTGCCAAACAGGCGGCGAAATCAGATATTTGACTATGTTGGTTTCCTTAAACATGTTAGTATGGGGAGTCTTTACACGGTGGTTTTAAAATGGACGGATCGAACGCGAACAACATCAACAGTAACTCAAAAACGGTGAGTGGTTTTCTTGACAGAGATACTTTATTTAAATCACGAGTTCTCCTAATATATCAAGTATGCTTCCTTCTCTTTGTAGCCGTTATCACCTTTCCACGGAGCCCAGTCTGGTTGTATATCAAACACTATGCAGATTATTTTTCAGTCGACGCTCAAACATACAATCGTTGTCCCTTGACTGGGGTCATAAACAAATATGGAAAGCTTACCCGTTGCTACTTTATTCTGCTGGTATTGACACCTATTTGGCCAAATTAAGACAATTCTCAATTCATTACATTACCGACTGGTCAATATTCGGATATCTTTCAAGATACGCAAAAAACATTGAAACCTTACAGGTGGTTGATTATTCTTTCGAACTTCCCCCACATCCCGAGGATGAACAAAATCTGGCTTCATTAATCACAAAACAACATAACCTACGCCATTTCAAATTGTTTGGTTATGCCACTCATCCTGTCTTAACTTTGACATCGTTAGGGTCGCAGTGTAATTCTTTGGTCTCAGTAGAAATAATTTACGTTCATTTCACCACAAACTCCGTTCTCGGACCATCGTTCGAGGGTTTGGCGATGTGCAAAAATCTCGAGGAACTGATAATTAAAAATTGTCTGTTTGCCACTGAGGAAATTATAACGCCTTTAATCTACGCAACGTTTCCCTCGCTTCGTAAGATTCATATAGTAGAGTCAACATACGGATGGGATAGCGTCATGGTGTCGTTGATCCAAAACAATCCAATGAATCTAGAAGAGGTTTATTACAAACCGCTAGATAATCAGCAAGAACAAAACATCATCTCACCATCTATCATTGAATGTGTGTCACAATATTGCCCACGGATAGTGAGGTTGGGTGTACCGATAGGGCCATCACAAATCCATCATTTAGTAGATATATTGACATCGAAAGAATGTAAACTAAAAAGCTTGAGTATTTTTAGAATGGATAAGGTTTCATTGGATAATGAGGAATTATGGAGGGATTTGGGTAGTTTGATGCCAACCACGTTGAGACATTTGAACATTTGGATTTATCTCGGAGAGACCCCAATGCAATTATTCTTACAGAACACCAGCGCACCGCTTGAGACGTTATATGTTCGATGGTGGACGCACTATCTTGGCTATGATTTTCATCTGGTTGGTGCTTATTTGAAAGATAGGCGAATTGGATTTTCGGAGTTTTTGAGACATGTCATTTAAATAAATAATAAATATTTCGTTTGATTGTTACTGATACGATCATTTGAGATTGTGATGATTACCATTACAATTTCGGAGATGGTTTTCTCTTGTGGTTACTGTAATACTTATTTTTGTATTTAAATTAGTGCGAGGTGATTTTTGAAAAAGATGAGACCTATATAGAATTTTCAAATTGTTATATTTTAACTATTAAAGATGTGAATAAACCATTGATGGTCTTCTATCCTATTTGTTACTTGTTAATGAAGATATTATTCTTTTTTTCGATTTTTTCATACATACGAATTATTGGAAGAAGTGGGCATTTCAACTTACGGAACTAAGTCGATAATCTCGGATGCTCAGTAATGAACATTGGTTCTCTTTGAAGAAATTAAACATTGAATATCGCCATTGCCTATATCTTATTATGCAAAGAATCAAGTATTCAAATGGTGAACGAATTCTAACCTTTTTCGCGCCATCCAAATAACCAAATAAAAGCTGACTCTTGATCTTCCAATAAGCAACACGTATGAGGCCATTACCCGCATGTTCAATGCAAATTTCATTAGATTCATTTTGATTCGCCCTCTTTCCATCAAATGAACAAATTTTTTTGAATAAAGAACTGGCCAAATAAAATCGACCGTGTTTTAGCCTGATTAAAATTGCATCAACGTCTTGGTCGGGGAAGAAGGCCTTGGAGAGGTCGAAATCGAAAACATCTTTTTGAACATCAAACACAGGTCGCGTGTCAATTTCCACAATTTCCATGAAATCGGGTCCATATGGCAATGCAATGTACAACTTGCGAACAACCTATGGAATGACATTCTTCATTAATCGAAAATTTAGATGGATGAAAAGAAGCTGTAAGATATTTACCACAATTTTCCAACCGTCTTGATAATTTCGAGAAATTTCGTCTTTCATCACAATGGGAATTAGCTCATTCCATTTTTTGCATGTCTTTCGCAATTCGGTGAGCTCTTTGAAACTTTTGCATAAGAGAAGTTAACAATAATGAACAACGCACATGTGCTTTTTTTACTTTAAATACAATGGAGTTTTTTAATATTTAAATGTCAAAACACACGTTGACTCCCGTAGGACATAACCAAGTGTATTAATGAGCAATTCGTTGGGAAAATTACGAACCATTTTCTTTCTTGAAACTTCTTTGGTAAGTGTCAATTGATTTTTAGTACGTCTATGTATATATTACATCACGGGCTTCATAATAACCATGAGGATGGATTGTAACACATCATTGATAATCATTACTAGTCATTGGGTCTTTCAATTCCTACATCCGAAGATCCCGCGGTCTACGTTTATATCTATCTATAACCGTATGACAGTTTTCCGTATTTATAAACTCTTCTTCCGTCGATGTTTTATATGTTCCCACAATAGCTGCAACGCCTCATCCTGGATAATTACCATCACGCCTGTTTCCTCGGCCTGTCGCTGCTGGAATGCATAATGTGACCAGGTAAGTATGCTCCGAATTGAGTTCCAGATGGAGATGTCTTAGCAGAGATTTTTCCTTGCTTGAGCCAACGACGTAAAGTGTCTGACGAGATACCGAGTTTCTTGATTCAGATAAGTACTGTTAGCACTACCGGCGAGTCCGTCACCAATAAGGTAAGTTTATTAATTATACTGCGAGTACAATTGGTTATAAAGTTTTTACTAACTTACATTCACTACTCTAATCCTACTTCTATTTATATTAGCTGTACCGTGGCGCATGACCCGCGCCGATTCTCCAAACTATTTAACTATTTTGATAGGTTACTAAGTACGGTATATCAAAATTAAAAAAAAAAGCACATCATATACTTCCACAACTGTATTACTATATAACTTAAAAAAGCCAACGGGAAACGTATTTGTTTTACATTTACAGCTAGGTTAATATGGATATCACTATAATTTTTAGCGTTAGTTTCATATAGTATAAAAAAATAAATTATGCTTAAATTATAATTTATACAATATATAAATATACAATGTGAGTTATAGATTAATTTTTTATTAAAAATTACTTACATATAAAAATTTTTGAAGCCTATAATTTAAAAAACTTTTTGTAAAATTTCAATGAAACAATTTAGTAGAAAAATATAATAAAAATCTTTTTATTTATAATTTTTTAAAAAACAATAAATTATTTAAATAAGAATTGATTTTTTTTTTATAATTCTTTTTTTTTTTTTTTTTTTTTTTGTAGATAAACATCATTTCTTTATTTGATTTGTATATGTCAAGGTATACATTGTGAAAGAAACAACATCTCTCATATG